CTTTTACCTACTGGTAATTATTTGATCAGTCAAGTTTAACACTTTTCAATTAAAGCGGAATACGCTTACGTGTACGCTGTGCTCATGTTTGAATCAATAAATCGTAACGGGCACGATATACAAGTATGTACATGTTAAGGCAAGTCTCGTAGCGCTTCGTGTCGTTATATAAACATTTTGATGTAATTAATGTAATATGTCAATTTATCTGTTAAAGCAAGTTATGTGATTGCGCGAAGATCAATATTATCATCTCCCACTAATTGTTCCAACTGATCTTACAGCTCATTGAATGTAAGTTTGCGTTTCTCAAAATTTGATTACTAAATTAATTACTACTCATCAATATAGTTGGTTGCAGACAATATTTTTTACTATCATTATGCGAGGCAATAATATACTATACGAAGAGAGAGCGAAAAACCATAACATTAAGAGCAGGAGTTATATTTGTGTAGTCAAAAAAAATCACTTGTAAACAAAAACGATCCGATAACACATGCATTTTAATAAGGCCAATTTTGTCAGGTTTATTAGAACAATAATATAGAGGCTAAAAAATTGTATTGGCACATTCAACAGTTATAGACGGATGTAACTCTTCCATCACATCATATATTATTTGAGGACAATGCTTTAGGCTTTTTCGAAAACCTTGTTGAATGGCAACGTGGACGTGGTACGACAAGTATACGGACACACTAATCGTCAAAGTTGAACTTCATTAGCACATTACATATAGCACATGTAAACTCATTGAGTTGCGAAAGAACTACCTTCTCTTTATTCTCTTTGGCCAATTAGCCTCTTCCCAGGTTCGGAGATCGGAGTTTGAGCTTGCCTGGGCTGTAAAGGATTAAAGTGAATTACGCGAGCTCGAGTTAGTTTCTTTATAAATTTTTAAACATTCATAATTCCAATTAAAGAGCTTACATTGACATAAAATCCTTGGATTTTTTTCTTTTGTTCGGTGCTCTGACTATTGCATAGATCTGCAAATGGGAGTGTGTCGGGACGTCGTGATTGGCTGCTCGTTAACGGGTTGTGATAGTTTTAGTGGGGCACCTGTTAGGGCACCTGTTGGGGCACTGAATTGGATGAAGAAATCTTATGTGTCTTGAAGAAAATTCGCTCTTCTTTTATAACTGATGCCATTTTCTTGTATGACCGGTTACCCTTCCCATTTGACGAATGACAAAAATCGGAAGTGTTGCTCACTTGTCATGTCATTAGTATAAAGTTAGTTAATAGTTGTCAATCGCAATTATTTGTCCAATATCATGCATCTTGAATTCTCAAGCTGTTTGTGACAGTGCAGTTCTTTGTTGTTAATTCTCCCAGGGGTCATATGAGTCGCACACATTCCATTCTCATATTTTGACTTTTTTTTTTTTCCCACCGCAGAGTCGTGCAGAGCAAGTCAGGAGTTGTGCTTGTGTAATGAACGTTGAGCTTGTTAGATAAAAGACATTTGTTAATATTAATGCGATATATTCATTTAATCAGCAATAGTATTTTATTGACAAGTTTTTATCGAGAACGATGCAATCACCGATAAGCACTTGTCCTAGCATCAGAATTATAGTTGGGCAATCACCGATAAGTCGTCTTAAGCTGTTAGACCTAGCATCAGAATTATAGTTGGGTCACACGACATTTTAAGCCACATATGCTAATCTGTATTCTATGGATAGTAATAGCATTGTAAATAAGATGTTCCCACAGAAACTATCATCGGTTGCACAACCTTTCGTGCAAAAAGCCTTAGTAATGATGCCAAATCTGTATGTTCATATGCAAAAGTCTGTATTAGTATTCGAAGCATTTTGATTAGTCGTCGAAATTAACTTTGTTTAAGTTCTTCTGTGGCTGTGTGATTCTAAACGAAGATCACGCATTTCCAAGGAGACATTCCAACTAAGACTTATTTTATAATTCATAAAAGTTAGTAACAGACTCGGCAATGATCCATAATATAACATTATAATGATAATGACATTTCATAGCCGATTAAAACAATCTTGCCAATTTGTAATCATCATATGAAACGCTCTTTGAGTTTGCTATTGAAAAACTCGCACTTTGCATCCTCCTGCATCGTTTCATCATAAACAAATTGCGACATTGGGAATGTTCGATTGCATATTCCCACAGGGCACAACTCGGTTGACCAAGAAAGTAATGCGTGCGACCCACATGACGATGAGAACAAAAAAAGGTTTCTTATGCACTGCATAATCAAGAAATAAATCTGTTTGCATGATGAGAATTTTTAGGTTGAGAAAAAAGTGTGTGAAGATCGATTTCAAAAGATTAGTCGATCAGTATGTAATTAGATGGGTGTTGGGGTGGGTATGTGTACAATTGGGGTACGTGATGCCCCAACACAATATTTGCACTTACCAACTCGTGACTCTTCTGTGAGAAAAAGTTAAAATCGTGAGAATCAATGCATGCAGAATCAATGAGAACAAAGAATAAGACCGCTCATGACTTGATAATCAACTGCTTGCATCTAGAATTTGCGTTTATCGAATAGCGCGTGATACTTCAATATGTCTTGATTAGGACTAGGACACTAAAAGCGTTATTCGAAAAAAGAAGGGTGTACAGCTTCTGCCTCAGGGCCTTTGGTGCTATTCCCTCGTACAGCCTCCGCTCGGTATCTGATATTAGTGATTATAACGATCCATTGTGTAGTTAGGGAATTTCCTAAAACTCAAATTTGAGTTATCCTCAGAGTTTCTGTTACACGGCGCAACGAATAAGTAATTACCGAAACTGAGAGTACTATTTCACCGCAGCACAGCATACAGTACATTCGCAAATACCAATTACAAATATCAGATCATTAATGATACTGAAATAAGTGTTGTTGGCAACAGAAAAGAAAACTTGCCTTTTCAACGTGCCATTAATTGTTATAGATGTGGTTTATGATTTTATAGTGACTTGTCATTTTTAATCTGAAAAAGATTCCGTAAATAAACATATAAGCTTTATGAGGCTTTTATTATACTCGCCATGAATACAGGAAGGATACCGACTTTACCTGTAAAGACTTTATTCCGCATGCAAAAAATGAAATTTTAATCCTTTCTTGACTTTGCAAATAACGATCCGAACATGATGGACAAAATACATTACGCGTATCAATCTTAAATGTCTCGATATACTATATACACGTATACTCCTCTCGTCATCGCTACATTATGAACCTGTGTGACTAACGATCGTGCGAGTCATATTTACGTTAGCCGCTACGAATATGATAACCCCACACGTCCAGACGACTCTAACATATTCCTTTTAAGATTCAGGGAAACATAATCCAACGAGCATGGAGCTATTAACAGTTCGCTGGGCTGGCATCATGTCGAACTCTTATACTTTTCTCAATTCAGTATTGATATATTAATCTTTCGCAAGGCGTTGAGCATAACCGCAATACAAGTAACTCTCTATTTGTTCAGCAGCCTTTGGATATCCCTTTATACCCCGGTTTGCAACATGTACCAAGACTAGTGTATGCAAAAACACCTCTTGTTTGATTGTCTGTTGAACGTTTTTATTCAATTTTCAAAACACCAACCAAGGTTATCGTGCGTCCATAAAAATCTTGCTTTTGGTATCTTTTGTGATTTATTTTTACACCAGCACTATTCGTATAAATACGACTAAGATTATTTTGTGCACTAAGCAGTACTTGTTCAGCTTTTGATACCATTCAACTGCCTTTTGTTCATCTTTTTTACTTCATCTCTAATTGATAACAAATGCCAAGCTTTTTGCGCTACCAGCGTAACCTTGTTCAGCGCGTTTTCGTATGGTAGACCGACTTATCGAGAGATTTTAATATTAACATTGAGTTGGAAAGTTTTGCCTTCTTAGGCCAGAATTGAATAATCGAGAGACCCATATTTTCGAGTTAGCTGAAAAGATGCAGTGTCCCGAACATTATTCTGGTTGTTATGCTATCTGTACGCACGTTTCTCGAAACGTAAGGTTTTACATTACATTAAAATTTACGTTTATTTTTAAAGCCAATCTCGCTTCCACTTTGATTTCAAGTCCACCAACGCTCAACAATGTTGAACGCATAAGACAAAATTTTACTCCTATTGGTAATTTCTGATTAACTGAAAGTTTACCTTAACAAAAGCCGTGGCGTTTGCCTGAACAATTTGTGATTAGACATGCAGGAATTGTCTTTTTCTCATTTGTTTAGCGTTTAGATAACGTGATAAAAAATGATTGTGATTAATACCATGCCTTGACAAAGATTTGTTTAAAATGAATTATGACCATTTTTATCACCAAATGCAACCTTGGGTAGATTATTTAGTCAAATCTTGCCGATGAGGATGGGAGTAGGAAGTTAATTTATTGTTGGAGTCTGTAACAGCGAGAATTACTTATTCCATTTCTAGAAGAAAAATGTATTGAAAATTATTTTAAAATCAAAATCAAAAATCAAAATAAAGGTCTTAAAAAATAGAAAAAATTAAATAGTTTTATTAAACTTATTGTAGAAGAAGTTATTACCTCTATATGGGCAAGAAACACTACCGTACGATATTTTAGGTCAGAACGACATTAAACAAAAATGTGTATGACAATGAAAGACGTAGCCCATATGTACGAGGGCAGGCAGTGAAGTTTAAAAGCGAAGAAATAAATTTAATAAGAGGCGAGGCGAGGCGGGGCTCAACTACCACACTGTTTATCATACTTAAATAATATTCTTAATTCCATTAGCTATTGCCTACCATAACAATGTTAAAGAACAACTTAAAAATTGTACAGCACGATGGATTACGTTACCCAACGACGCTATACATAAATTTGCAACTATAGTAGACAGAAAATTTTGTGTTACAAAAATTGTATAAGCGTTGTCACCATCGTTATCAAGGGAATCCTGAATGCAAAAATTTGTCAATTGTGTGCAAAATAGTAGTTACATGACAAAATATAAAAGAAAAGGGGGGGGGGTTAATTTACCATAGAGCAGCGTATATTATCGTATTTAATGGACTTGCACTAAACACGCAAATTAATATAAAATAAATTTATTAATAATATTATTAACCTGCTCGAATATTAGAGACAAAAAAAGTTACGCTACCTGGTACTGCCAGATTTACATTGACCATCGCTGCCGATTGAATCCTATAAAGTAAAGGGCTATTAGTAACATGCTTGCCTTATTAATTCAATAAAGAACAGGTTGCGCATACCTGAGGACAGCATGTGTCATCAGCAACAGTGTTATTCTGTGATGTTACAAACATTGTTGTTGAGTGTTTTGTTGCAATTTATGTTTGCAAAATAGTCATATATTTAATTATATTACCAGAGGGCAGCATTGATCTCCAATACCGGTCATATTCTGAATACATTAAATAAGAAAGATTTCTTTAGCGCTGATGTTTAAAAGCTAATGTATGTAAGATCGTAGAATAAGTATTTACCTTCGCGCAACATATGCCATTCGTAACGTTCATGTCCTACACGGCAAAAAAGATTTCGTAATTAATAATAGCGAATATTAAAACTTTAACGTCTGACTACGGAATGAGAATTACCGGAGCACAGCATACACCAGCGGTGAGTAAAGGTTTATCCTAAATAAGATACATTGTTTAGTAATGTTAACGCTATTGCCTTATAAAGGTAAAGCAAATTACCAGTGGACAGCATGTGCCAGCAACGTTAAGCGGCTTGTCCTAAATATCAAAATACAAATATATGTTATTAAAAAAGCTGGATTATTATCGTAATATAATTAGCGAAACATTACCGCTTCACAGCATTTTCCAAAACTGTTAATGGGTTTGTCCTAAATATCAAAATACAAATATATGTTATTAAAAAGGCTGGATTATTGTTGTAATACAATTAGCGAAACATTACCGCTTCGCAGCATTTTCCAAAACTGTTAATGGGTTTGTCCTGTTTAATAAAATAGAAATAAAATTATTAAATTGGCGATACAGTTATTATATATAGATAATGTAATTAATAAGACAAAGCACATTACCGGCGAGCAACAAATGCCACCAACATTCAGAGGCGTATCCTAGATATGACAAAAATAATAATGGTTACGGTTTATTTATTCTAAACACCAACACTATTAATAGGAGAGCAAGAATATATTACCAGCCCGCAACATATGCCATTGACATTAGTCTTGTCCTGGAAACGTTAAAAATAAAATTTATTAGCATTAAAAATAGTTATATCATATAATATGGAATGAATAAGTACGTTACCTGTTCGCAGCATATGCCTTCAAAATTGACAGGCTTGTCCTGTATAACAAAAGATGCGTTAATAATGATTTGTTGCCGGTTTAACAGTGCGTAGTGTTTATAAATGTAATCATATATTACTCTAGGACAACACTGGTTACCACTAGCAATGGGTTTGTCCTAAACAAAGATTATGTTAATAAATAAATGTTATTATTGACAAACATTCTGAATAACACAAATATAATTGTAAGTGGTTACCGGAGGACAGCAAGTACCATCATTTCTGTAGGATTCCTGCATTGTCAAAATCAAAAATGTTAGAAATCGACAACTATTAACCGTCATTCAATTTCTGGTTAAAAAGGTTACCTTTGAACAGCAAATGCCATTAGCTGGAAATGTGTCCTAGCGTATTAAAAATAATTTGTAACATTAGCAGATTTAAAGTAACTTATCTTACTATATACTAGAGCATGAAAATAGCATATTACCATCGAGCAGCATTTCCCATTGCTGTCCAGTTGACTCTGTATTTTAATGTAATTCCCATATGTTAGCATTTTTAACCCTTAATTTATTTTATTATTATATTTTGAATAAGCGCATACCGGAAGAGCGCATCTATTTGTTTCGTCATTGCAACAAACTGTACCCTGTAAGCGTGCAAATAAATACAAAATAAAAATGTCAATAAATGTCGGATATATAACTAACTATTCAATGAAAAGAGCATATTACCGAATCACAGTAATGTATATTGTCACTGCAACAAGTTGCATCCTGAAAAAAACGAACGGTATATAGTTAGTAACGGTTATGTTTGAAAGTTTCTAATACAATGCGCTGCTCTAAAGAGTCAGGTGGGGGTTTACTTTATAGGAACGTTGAAACCAAAATTAAAAAACGAGAAATAATGTCTTACCTCAGGAACACATTTCCCATTTCCACAATGCTTGGGTGCATACTGAAAATGCCGTAAGATAAAAAATGATTTATTCATGCTTTTTATTACCAAAAAAAAAAAAAAAAAAAAAAAAAAAAAGAGCAAAATAAAACAAAAAGTTTACACTGGGACAGCACCCGGAGTTATAACAAACTCCGCTCTGATTATGGGAAAGAACAAAAATAGTTGAGCATAATAAACATTAATTGTTAAGATATCGATGAATAACAGAAGGGAGATGTTACCGATCCATAAGGGCAGCAATAGGTTGAACAACAACCGTCTCCCTATAAACACGATAAATTGTTAGTACCATATATAATAAATTTTATGACATAAGCAAAATTGTAACAACTAAATAATAGAAACAAAAAATCAAAGTTTTACCTGCGGACAGCAACCATCCGAGCAATAGTTACCCTAACACACGAAATTTCCAAGATCAGCAAGCACATGATGGTCAATATACATAAAATCTCATTGGATGTTCATAAAAGATATTGATATCGTGAGTCTATTTACCGTAAGGCAAGTCTGACCGAGTTATAAAGAGACATAGTTAGTAATGGGCTTGATATGTGAAACACTCAAAAAAACAGTATTGTGATGAAATGACAGATCTTCTCGCATTAATGTTCCAAACTAGTACGATATGACAATACAATTTACATTTCAGGTAAAGAATACTATACCCCAGCAAATTTAAGCGGGTTATTTGGATCGATCGAAGATGTATCGAGTTTAGTTATATTGGTCGCCGCATTATCTTGAATTAACTTCGCATATAATTGATCTGGAGCATTATCACTATGTGCAGCACCCACAAAGAGTGCGATTATTAATGGCACCAGTGAATAAAGATAAAGCCGTTTCATTTTGACTGTTAAAATAATGTAAA